CCCCAAAACCCCAAAACCCCAAAACCCCTCAGAACTTAGTAGAATAGAGGATTGATTAAGATTATAGGATGTAAAATTATGGAGTGGTCAAAATCACACTCTCTGATAATGAAAAGTGAATGATCTAAGCAAGCTCTCACGAGCTGTTATCACAATATTTCTCTCCAACAGGGTCTTCAAATGTGATCTCAGACTCACTTAGCTTCTTGCTGAGCTGCACTGGAGTTATTTTCGAAGAAATTTCTTTATATTTCATTGAATCTATTTTCTCATAAGGCATCTGGGCATAAGAGCCTACTGCTTTTGGCAAGAAACTGACTCCCTTCAGATGATATTGAAAATGATTCAGTGCAGGCTCAATCTGATCTTTCTCAGTTTCAGGATCAAATGAAGCTGTGCATGACACTTGGTTGTCAGCCCAATACTTCTGCAAGAAAGATGCGAGGGATAGTTGCTCCCAGAGTGAAACATTCTCGAGAGTTCTGATATTTGGACCAAGATCTACAGGAACTTCAACACAAACTGTATTTGGAGTGTATACATCTTCTTCAGTCCTGTACCCGGCTCCTTGAAGGATTGGTACCAAAGCGTTATCCTTCGAAAGTCTCACTCTTCGAATGTAGTACTGACTCTCAGGGAAGTGCATTCCTGGAGTTGCTCCTGCAAGCAAAGAGACAGTTCCAGATGGTTTGATAGAAGTTATTTTTATAGACTCGGGAACATCAAACTGTTTAGAAATGTAGCTGTCATATTCTCTTAGGTATTTATATCCTTCATCTCAAGTTCTACGTAAAGCTTCAAGGCCTCTATCAGATACAAACTGAGCGATTCCGCTCATTGAACAACCTATTCTCCGGTTCCTAGCCATAACTTCATTCGTTTCATTTCAATGTGTTAGTCCAAGAGTAACAATTTTAGCATAGAGGAAGGCAAGTTCGAGCGTATCTTTGAAATCATCAAAACTCTGGTGATGATTAGGAAAAGTTTCAACCAAAGTGCACATCTCAAATGACTCAAGAGTCTGCTCCAAACAAGGGTTTCCCCCAGCTGCTTTTGCATCTTTGTAGTCTGCAGGGTCGGCCATCCTTCCATAATCTCTCATATTTTGTAACCAAGCAAATCCTGGCTCTCCGTTAGTAAGGATATTTTCAACAGCATGGGAATAATCCATGCCAGTTTTGGCAAGAATAGAGTTATTACTGACCCATCCATGGTCCATTCTTTCAGGATATTTTTGGTAATTTTTGAGTTGGATAAACTCCTTATCATCATACTCACCCATTGCAATCTCAGCACTTCTGCGGATATTGCCTTTGACAACACATTTGCCAATCAAGTTCATGATGTCAACAATGTTTCTGACACTGAAAGTTGTCCCAATGATAGAGCTACAAAGTTTCTGCAATGATTCATGAAGTTCGATCAGTGGCTCTGGACCTGAGGAAAACCCTCCAAATATTTTTAATGGAATACCTTTTTGACGAATTTGACTATAGTCAAATTTCACACTTGGTTTCCCTTCTTCAAAGAAGGAACTCAGAAGGATCTCGATGCTTTCAACCCAGCCTTCACGAGTATCAGGAATCTGATATGTTGTGTATCGGTCCTGTATAGGTTGGAAGATTCTGATATGACCAGCTCCCTTGGTATCAAAGCCAACTCCAACACCGAGCATGCTTGAGTCCATCAGGAATGTAAAGGGAAGAGTGTTCTTGACTCCATCCTCAACTTTAGTAGAAACAAAAGCACAGTTGTTGAGAGCAGTGTATAGTCTCTTTTTCTCAGTTATCTGACTTCCCATAGCCCAAATACCTCTTCCAGGAGGTAAGAATTTAAAATTGTATATTTTGTCATACATTCTCATTGCATTAATTTCTTGCATCTCTTGGTACATGGAATTTGGAGCACAGTAATTGAGCATGCTAAAGCATCCGTTGACGATCCTTTCAACAGTATCAGCCCATTGCTCATTACTTCCATCTTCTTTCACTCTGGAATAAGTCCTGATATAAGCTATTTCTCCAAGCCCATTAAAGCCAAAGTTGACCTTTTTAGCTCTATATGGCTCTAAGAAGGACTCTGACAGCTTAAAAGTAGTCGAAAAGGATCTCAGACCACTTTGAAGGCAAATTCCATACAGTTTTGATGCTTTTCGGATATTTGGGTTGAAAATAGGATTGGTCAGCTTATTCATCATTTGCGGTTAAAAAATTAATAATAACTCAATAGTATCCATACTAAAAGGGGTTTTGGGGTTTTGGGGTTTTGGGGTTTTGGGGTTTTGGGG